ACTGAATTAAGAGAGCGAAGTGAAGCTACGGGCTTCTTCCATTCACGTCTTCTTTCTTCCCCCGGCATGCGTGTCATGTAAACTTGACTACATATGCATGCTCGCGGCCGTTTCGCTAGCTCCACATATACCTAATTTGATATCAGGTGACGCGAATAGATGATTAATAAATGACATGTCCAAAACATGATAATCATGACATGGAAATTATGTACGGCATTTTTTATATCCGCCTAAGAACGTTGTGGTGATTTTAAAGTGACATATCAACATTCCTCATTCGTGCTTCGCATATCATCCATTCCCACTTTCCGTGTGATTTGCCAATTTTTTTAACTGCAAGGACCTTTGTCGTCCGTCCGTCCGTTTATCTATCCATCCATCCGGCCAGCCACTAACGTCTAGATGCACTCATGATCACCCCCTTAACTCGCACACCAAACGGGAGAGTAGATCGTTTGAAGAATACGACGCGCTGGTCATGACATGAACAATGTCACAATCTCGTCACGTACGTCGACAAACACTTTCCGAAATACAGTAGCCCCGGCCAGGTATGTGCCACTGTTATGCGGGTATGGGCCACAGGTGATAGACATTTGATGTCTACCCTGGAACGACGACAACACACGTAGGTAAATTTGTCGTTTGAGCGGTAAGAAAAAGCTGACATCGGCAGTGTTGACCCGACGAATGCAAAGAATGAATGTCAGTGTACCAGCATAAATCAAACCCTAGATTTCTGCGTGGCAATCAAGTATTCTATCACATAGCCACACCAGGTCTCATGAATACTTTGCAAACAGACCCTAACGTCGTGAAATGACAATTCTGGTTGCAGTACTGACTATCAAATTTTATAAACGTTACATATTTACTCCTATGATACAGCCGTCATGTCGACTTAAAGTCAACTATACTTAGGCGCCATCCGCTGAGGTTGATTTGCGCAGCAGTGTTGAGGGCTACCAACCCTGTGAGCCCCAGCACAAACACCAGCGCTTCACATCAGGTTACCGCTTCTCGTGTTGCTATTATCCATCTTGCTGTGTGCAATATTACACAGCTGCAAACATTTGGTAATACAAAGCATATGCGGGTGTTCAACGTATGTTTGTGTGTATTTGAACCAATGTAGGCGCCACTTCATAACGCCTCGCTCAATAAAAGACACCAGGCCTGCGCGGAAGGCGCAGTACAGTCACAGCGAAAGCTAGAAGAGCGGCCTTTCAGAGCCTCTTCTAAACACTCATTGGGTAACTGCTGCAAGCACACTTGCTTGATACCCACTATGGCATTATTAATAAAAAATTTTGGGGAGTAGGTTAGCATTCGTTATGAAATTTTTCGTCATTCTTCTGAGAAGCATGGTATCCGCTAAACACTTGCAAAGAATTTTGTGCCAATTGTTCATGCGAGGGCTGACAACGATGAGGAATTATGCCTGAAGTGGGTAAGCGCCACAGTTATTATAGAACAATAACACGCTTTTGTAATGGGTTGGGGCATTGGTCGACCCACTCGCTGCGCTATTCGCATTTTGACGACGACTGGTTGTTCTTTTGCTCGTTTAAAGCGCTTTACTAGTCGTATTTACGCGATTCCTTTCCCGACCTCTAGCCTGCCTGAGGCAAGTTTGCCATGAAGTCCCAAGCAGCGGCATGGCTCAGTGGTAGAATACTCGGCTAGCACCCAGTGGATCCGGGTTTGCGCCCATTGTGTCATTGTTACTAGGTATTTTTTTATTTCGTGCGACAGTAGTTACGGACACCGGCAGAGGCGGCGGACAACTACGGAACTGCGCGAGACTCGAATTGTGATCCCATTACAGATTTCGCTGTAAAAATAAAACTCAGTCACCTTGCACGCGCATGCTTCACATAACACTGATTCCCTAGGTACGTGGAGACTGCCGAATTTTTGTTGTGTGTGGTCCTTGCCAGCACGTAACGGAGACACCGGCTGAGTATACGCTCAATACTGCACCCCCCCCCCCCTTGCGAGGACACCGTGAGCATTGTGCGGGCTCGAAATGGCGAGCAAGCGCCACGCCACGCTCTTGGAGTGAACGGACTCAGTTGACACGGTCGGTACAAACTAAAGAACAATACACAATTATTTAACTAATTTAGATGACGATATCGTCCGTCGAATTGATACATAACTCGTTATGTAATACGCTAAGACATCCTTACACAATATCCTTGCGCGCGCACACACACACACACACACACACACACACACACACACGCATGCGCACGCGCGCACACGCGCACACGCGCACGCACACACAAGGCGGCGTCGCCAACGCTTGACTTACCACGCGGGCCCGCGGCGTCGCAGACCGCGGTGTCACGCACCGAGGACCCACACTAGAGACAACCATTCGCGGCAACCACCACGCGTAGAAGAGGCTCGCTCAACTCTCACCCGCCACGAAGGCCTGCCTTCCGCCAGGGGTCACCGCCGGCGCTACCACTCTACCAACCAATTGCGCGCACGAGTCAGTTACATATAACTATGGATGGATGGATGGATGGATGGATGGATGGATGGATGGATGGATGGATGGATGGATGGATGGATGGATGGATGGATGGATGGATGGATGGATGGATGGATGGATGGATGGATGGATGGATGGATGGATGGATGAATGGATGGACGGACGGACGGACGAATGGATGGACGGACGGACGGACGGACGGACGGATGGGGCTCAACCCTTTAGATCAGGCGGTGGCTAGCGCCACAAAGCCGTAATACTTAATGAACCAAAAACTAGATTTATTTTTTCATTAAATAGTGAGGTTGAGGATTCGTACTTTGCAGTGAAGGGTTTCATTTTCAAGAGTGCCTTGACTTTAGCCGCCAATCAGATAACCTCCTTCTAGTTAATTCTACCCGCTTAAAGTCTACTTTGCCCTCCCTGTTACTAAACCCCAGTGCTTTGAAAAACTTTGCACCATCATCCTGAACTGTCATCCCATATCACCATCATCGCATATCACCTTGTACTCCCTGATTTGGTGTATTCCCGTGAGCTCCTAAGGCGAGTCTACCTACTCCACGTTGCTTAATTTCTAATCTTGCTTGAACTTCTGATCTCATGCACAAGACTGCATTGCCGAACGTCAGACCAGGAACCATGACCCCTTTTCATATTCCTCTCACAACATCATACCTATTGTATTTCCACAGTGCCCCGTTTTTCATTACTGCTGCATTCCTGTTACCTTTAGTCGACACGTATATTTCGTGTTCCCTTAGGTACTCGGCCCCATTGCTTATCCATACGCCCAGATATTTGTATTTATCTGTTATCTCTAGCGTGAACTCTTCTATTCTAAGCGCACTGCCTTCATTGTCATTAAAAATCATGACTGCTAATTTTTCCTTAAAGCGAACAAGGGCATCTATCGCCCGATGGTTGTCACTACCAAAATACGGCTTCTGTGCGACACACGTGCGCCACGCGGGGCATACAACTTTACAAGGGGTGTGAGCACCCCTACAGCTTAAGTCGCTTAAGCACTGGATGAAAGCAAAATTGGGATATAAATTAGTTTGGAACGTCCTAATGGTCATAGCTGCATAGTTCGTGAGCTTTTTGTGTGCCGGGAAAATATTTCTCTTTTCAAATGCAAGCGTGTCCAGAATTCGTTAAACGGGAAGTGTCTCGTAACGTTTGGACCCTGAACGATTACAACAATTCTCCTTTCACGCGGAGAGTACGTGCGCCATGGAGTGGATGGTGTCGTTGAAGTTGGTGACTGAGTATATAAAAATCAACTGGTCGCATACAGGGCCCATTCTCTATTCTTAAGAACGTTATGTCCCTCATTCACTATGAAGCCCGAGGCAAAGGCCCTGACCTTCGGTCTAGAATCCAAGTGGATTTGCGTCCTGCTGCCATGCAAGAGTGTCAAAGCAGCAGCAACCTGCTCCTCTGTAAAATAGTTCGTCACTATGATAAATAGCGACAAGATTTTGTGATCTCTATAACAGTTAGCCGCTACGGCAAAGCGAGATGAGCATATAAATTTCGTCGAATCTACGTAGAAAATTGAATGGGGATCACCCGTGATCTTTTTCAGGATCACAATGCCCTTGCTCAACGTCTTACATCATTGTGTGGAGGGGGCATATTTCGAGGAATCGGCACAACAAAAATATATTTTCTTTGCGCCTAACTGCGGTATCATGAACTGCTTACCTTTACTAACGCGCGATTGAGACCCCCAATGGCTAAGATTTTATTGAATTGAGTTTATAGCGCAACAAACTTGTGAGGAGACCAGACAAAAAAGCTGCTCTGAGCAGCTTGAGGGAAACCTGGCTACCGCACACACTGAGCGTGTACTGTAGTTGAACGCAGGCCTTATATGTAATGCATGAACAACACAGCAAAAACAGTTAACGAACAAAGATTGTTCCCTCTACCAAAAAGCAGGATAGTTGATCTAGCTGGCCCGACTCCTGCGTTTCGACAACTTTGTTCAGCGCATTGCACACGTCTAATTATATATAGGTGCGCTGTGCTAGCAGCCCACCTATATCAATATATGAAAATATACGAAAATACCAAGCAATATTTGATACTTTTGTGGTGTAGAGTGTACAGACTTGTTTTCTCGAAGTTCTGCCAATTTAAACATGGCCACCACATAGACTATTTGGCTGATGAGGAAGGCTTGGGAAACAATAAAAAAATTGCTTTATTTATTAAGCCTTCTCTTCAACAGACGCCTTACTGTTGAGTCTGATAACCATTTTTGTTTTCTCGGTAATCTTTTCCGTCTAACGCAAGCCTATTGGGTCTATAGGATTCAACAACTATGCCCAACACGCGCATGAACTGTGCCATAGAAATTATGTTTCCGTCACGTGTGGTTAGCCTGATATCGTCTTCCGCAAGAGGCGTCCAGCCTTTGGGCTTGTGACCTCGTCTTATTGGTGACAACGATGTGTTTTACATAGGTTCTCTCTCTAAATTGCAGGTACAACCGAAGAAAGGTCCAACAGCCGGAGGCACCATCCTGAAAATTCGTGGCAAGAACTTCGCTTCCGTTAGCTATAATCCAGACAAAAGTATGAATGTCACTGTTGGCGGTCAGCTGTGCGACTATATCGCGTGGTCGGAGAATCGGTGAGTCCACCTAATCGGCGTTTGTTAGGGAAGAATGCAGTTCGACGAAAGAGATTCGTTAATTCACGTTCACGATCCCGTGACGTGTGACTAGATAACCATTTCATTTATGGTGAAAATGTTGCCGCAGTATGCAACTTCGATACTCACGATGGTGTGGCTATGGCGTCACGCTGCTGTGCATGAGGGGGCAAGTTATATTTTCCGGCATAGTTGCTGAACTTCAAAAGCAGCGAAATGCAAGAACGCTCATTTACTTAAGCTTACGTCCCGTGAAAACTACCAGGTGTTCAATGTTACTCTAGAGCCCCGCTATGACGTTACTTATAATTATTTGCTTACTAAGAGCGAATATCTTAGAGCTCGAGGTAAAACAGCAAGTGTCCGCGAAAAACCCTTCCCGCCGTTGCTTACTATAGGCGGCCCACCTACTGAAAGGGTCCGTGCAGACACCACGCTGTGTTTGCCCGCCATGCAAGCCGAGTATACGAGTGACGACAGGCCTGTCGAAAGTGCCACAACCAGCCTTGCAAGTCAATCCTAGTGCTCGAATTTGGACATTTTTCCATGGCCAGTGACAAGCTTTCGTTCAACTGTACTTTGTTTAAGCTCAGAAAAGACTAGCAGGAAGGCCACGTAAAGTCTAAGATCAATCAGCTTCACTGTTCCGAAGCTTTCCCACGGCTACTGTATTTTTTTTCTTTTTTTACTTACCTCACGAAAGCCCGTGGAAGAAGTACTGTGTTTATTTTTTTTAGGTTTTCTGTATTACATATGACTCTAGGAGAAACAAAATCGGCCCAGCAGCGGGGCCGTTAGCGTTCTCTATTGAATGTGTTATAAGTGACGGCGTTCGCATCGTCGTATCAAAGCATGCACGCCATTGGCTGCGTTGTGAGTGACGTCGTCCATCCCGTCTCAGCCGTGGCTCCGAGCGCGCACTAGTCAGTTTCACCTGAAACCTTCCGCATGAGCATGCCACGGACGATTCCAGAAGTGCGCCAAATGTGGAAGTGTGCGACAGGTCGCATTCCCCTGGCTGATGGTGCTGTCTGGGGCACGAAAACAGGCCTGGGAGGCTAATTGTCGACAGAAACTGCGCACCGATGATCCGGCAGCCTTCTCAGACGCACTAAACCGCAAACGGTAATGCAAGCGCCGGTGGCGGGCGGATTCGACAAGCCACGCGGCCGAGTTAGCTTGTGATGTCTAACTCTTGCAACGTCGTTGCGGCGTCAACGTGATAATTGCGCAAGCGCGTTCGTCGAGGCGAACGCGCGCTTTTGGCGCAAGTTTCTCCAGCAGCACATTAGCATCGGCTGCGACGTCTGTGACCACCTGTGGTTTGAGAGAAACCACTGTGATTAACGCATTGCGAAACTCATTTAAGCGCTCATTACACTCCTCCATAACCGGGATCATTCGAGGCACAAATTGCGGCATGTGAAATTTACGCTGTGCTAAACCCAAGCCAGATGTGTGTCTAACTTCATTAAAAAGCATGAAAATGTAACGAATATTGTGAAAGGCTTCCGTGCCACGTCGGGTTGAACCCACGGCTGAACCTGGAACCGCACTTTTAGCTTTCGCTGGCTAACCGTTTGCACAGAGTGCTCGGGTGGTGATTTTTTTATCTGACAGCACTAGAAAACAACACGCGCCAATATTCATGAAGGTACCCGTATTTCTTCAGAAGTTATAATACTGTACTTTACACAGTACGAAGTACTCTAGACTTAGCTATGAGGAAGCTGGTTTGTGTCTAGAATGAAGGGTATGCTGGGCGTTTGCTAAATTAATAACAAAGTTGTCATGACCCAGGCAATTTACTCATGTACCATTGCTTTATGTAGGGCGTAATGTCATGCTCTTCGCAACTCATTTCTATGTATCTTGGCAGACTTCAGCTGTTTTTCCAGCGTTTTGTATTTCTACAGAATTCAACTGTTTGGCCAGTGTCCATTTTGTGAACCCCATCTACTTCTAGCAGAGCGATTGCTCTAACAGGAGCGGATGTGCATGATTTTGATTTTTTTTGTAAATATTTGAATAAAGAAGTGTTGTCCTCGTCCTGAGAACTAAAATTTACCCTGACAGACCATTATTTCTGTTCGTGCAAAGAGATTAACGAGAGCGAATAATGGTTATGATAGTAGATTTTAGCGCAGAAAACAAGTACGAAGAAAAAACTTCCCAAACAAAGCGCTACCTGCTGAACCAGCTCGCCCATCAAGCCGCTGTTTTGAATTTCTTAAGATGATTTCCATTCAGGTTTACGCAATAGCAACTTTTTCTGTTTGAATATCAGAAACGACAATGCCCAAGATGACTACGTATCACCGTTTGTGCAGCATCCTACACCAAATTGAGGAGACAATACGAATACTGGAATTCTGCGCACCAAAATCACAATATACTCATGCGGCATGCTCCAGCGAAATTACTCGCGGAAGAATATGACCATCTGGTGTCCTCTAACGCTGATTTAAATCTAGAAACATGGGTGTTCTTTCATTTCGCTTCCATCTATGTACGACTACTGAGTTATGAGGAGCATGAAACACAGTATGTTGGTAGGACTCTTACCGCTGGCAAATTTTTAAAGTTTGCTTTCGTTTTTCATTTCTATTTAATTTCCTTTTGTTACCATAAAAACCCTTCTAGGTGGTGTAAATAAGGAGTGGATGCTGAGAAAATATAGAAGGTCAACACGTATGTTAATTGCGAGATAGGTAATGCGTTACACCATTGCAAAAATAAATTTAGACAGGTAATTGGCGGAAGTCTTGTGTAAAAAGTCGTTTCATTTAGATGGAGCCCGTATAAAGAACTTTTTGCACGTTTCATTGTTTCCACACGGTACATCGATTTTTTACCGTCTGGATAAGCCTTTCCACTTTTTTCTTTTGTTTCTTCTCTCTGCTCCCAGTATAACATGCAGGACACCACCTGGAAACAATGCCTCAACAGTAGACATCGTTATAGCGGTAAATGACGTAGCCACTGATGAGTTCCGAAAGTATGACGTCTTGGATCGTCATGTCATTACTGCTGCCTTTGAATACAAGGTATGGTTTAGCTGCTGTCATAGACAGCCGATTTACCTCGGTGACTCTTATGTATTATATAAAAAATCTGTGCCTTTCCAGGCCTTTCGATTACACAGTAGTACTTTTTTGTTGTTGACACATTTTTGTTTTTGCGTGATATTTTGTTTAATAATTATTGATAACACGTGAATTTTATGCCTGTTATTTTGCATTTTGCTTTAATATTTTGTACTATCATCCTATTCTACACAAAATTTTGCTAATCACCATATTACCCAACCCTCTTTTCAATAGCCTTACTTGAGACAGCTCAATTGTACAGGGCTCTAAAAAATTCGGGGCAGATTTTAATCTATCGGCGTCTGGCAGGGGCACTCACCAGTCAGCGTTAGTGCGCCCAGATGTGTTTTTTTGTGACCACTGACCATGGCGACATAGGCGGCACCACGTATTCTAAGCTAGTGAACCCACTGTTTCTCTTTTATTTCACTCTACCATGGCACACACTGGAAAGCAACTGCCCCGCCGCAGTGGTCTAGTGGCTAAGGTACTCGGCTGCTGACCCGCAGGTCGCGGGTTCGAATCCCGGCTGCGGCGGCTGCATTTCCGATGGAGGCGGAAATGTTGTAGGCCCGTGTGCTCAGATTTGGGTGCACCTTAAAGAACCCCAGGTGGTCGAAATTTCCGGAGCCCTCCACTACGGCGTCTCTCATAATCATATGGTGGTTTTGGGACGTTAAACCCCTCATATCAATCAATCAACTTGGGAGCAACTGGTTACGTAAAAGGGTGAACCAACGCTGTCGCAGAAGTAGCTATAGTAGCACGTGCGCGGGCGTCCTTTGCACAGCTACGGTGAAATGGAAGAGGGCGCTGTGCAGCAGCGACTGCGGTAAAGGTAAAGCTGCTGACGAAGGATTGAAAGTTGGGCTAGTTGGTGGCCGTAGGACATTTTTTAAACAGAGCGACAACGACACGGATTGAAAAAAAAAGTAGAGGGGACAAACTACAGCGCTGTCTCGCAACTAAATGTTTATTAAAGGCACAGGAAAAAAACAACAAGTACGCCCTCACAACCATGTGACCTCAGTAAATCGTAACAACCTACCCCCCCCCCCCCCCAACGTTACTTCTGCACTGTTTTAGTCTTGCTGTGATCAGATGGGCCCTAGCTTCTCTGAACATGTCACGAGGCTGAAAGATCCCCCGTTTCCATATGCTATCGTCCGGAAAACTGTCCACTCGGTGATCAAGCGAGTCGACATGAACGCATACAATGTATCTTTTTCACCCAGTGCCGCAGCAGATGAACTTCGTAGCAATATTTCCCTCAACAACCAAACTATCTCACAACCTGAAAAATGTGGTCAGTCATTTTGAAGTTACCGTGGCGTTTTCGGTGCCTATTGGGTTAATTGAGGTTTGTGCAATTGTTGAGCAAAGGCCGGCCACGTACTAGGCTGCTGACTCGCAGGTCGTGGGATCAAATCCCGGCCGCGGTGGCTGCATTTTTCGATGGAGGCGAATATGCTCGAGGCCCGTGTCCTTAGATTAAGGCACATGTTAAAAAGAGCCCTCCACTACGGTGTCTCAAATAATAATGGGGTGGTTCTGGGACGTTTAAACCTAACAGTTAATTAAATATGAATTGTGAGTGAAAACAAATGAAGCGCTTGCTAGGAGTTGCCGAAAAAAGACTGTGGAGTCAGACAAGTAACTTGCTTTGCGCAGTGTAAGAAAAAGTGTCGTGTACTCCTTGACATCTACATGTGGTCGAATATATATAGCCCAAACGAGTAGACGCATTGACATCAAGGCATTGGAACCCAAGCGTTTGTTATAAGGGAACGTACACTCACTCGTGTACCAACACATTGCGCTGTGCCATTGCACACCAATATTTATGGGGCTGTCTCAGGGGCTGTCAACACATCACGATGAAATCTCACGAGAAATAATTGAGGCTAACAACATAAAAAAGGGCAGATCGATGCATTACCGTATCTTCCGTTGACTTACATAATAGGGAGATTATTTTCCTAGACAGGAGAGTATGTTATCATTCCCTGTCTTGAGGAGTATTCTGTTTTCCGGTTCCTTCCTGTTCAAAATGCAAATCCTTGATTACTGCTTTTTTGTGCTATTAGTTTGCTGTAATGTGGCTGCATGAGTGTGAGGTGTGTAGTGCACTACCTTGATGTGCTTTCAGTAAATATTCAGCTGCGAGTAAGCGTCGTCGTTTGTCTCATTTTTTTGTTTGTTTGTTTGATTATTCGTTGCGATGCTTAAAAATGTTGAAGCTGCTAACGTTACCCGCCGCCACAAACGCTATATTTATATCGATGGTTGGGACACCTGGTGCGTGAAATCAAGGATTTTCACACGGCTACTCAAGCTGTAAGTGATCGCCGAGAAAATTTAGCATCTGGGACCAATGGCTGAGCCACGGTAAAGAGACATCGGTGACACCACGTGTTCGAGCCTCTGTGCCCAATATCTCCCCCCTAGTTCTACCAGTGTACCATGGAACACCAGGAACAGAGACTGTTGGCATAAGCAGATGCGCCCGTTTATATAGGAGACTGGAAGAGTAAGGGCAAGGTGCATTAGACTTGGCGAGCATCGGAGCATGCCCACCATACGCATTTCGTGCCTTGTGATGTACTTTAGACTAGCACTGCGTGGACCGCGACACACAGGGAAGCTGGCACCATGGGAGCGAGAGTCGGTAGAGAGCATGCGGCGAGGAAGTGGGACGTCAACATGCTTGCGGTACTTCAGCATGTTTTAGGTTCTAACTCAAAGAATCTGCACTCTATCATATCGAACCCTCAACTGATTTCGTCCCTTTTATAAACATTTCCGGAGTTCGCGCGTCATGGTAGTCCTTAGGCGAGCTTGGTGTTTCGCACACTGCCGAATTTATGTAGAAAGAAGCGCGCTGTCTAGACCTGATGCGTCAAGGGCTGAAAGAACCCCAATGCGATAGGTTTTCTAGTATCTAATTGCTGTTTATAACAATTTATATGACCACGGGTGTGCCATGTAACGTGCCTTAGTTTCAACTGTTTCATACCATGCCCTTGGCTGAGCCCTTGCCAGCAGTTTTATTATGTTTTTTATCTTAATCAGGGTTTTCATAACTCTCATCAGCACTGGACAGTAACGCCTTCAAGATAGCAAAAAGTGTCACTCCACGCTCATGTCACTCTTAACCCTTACTGCGAAATGGGCGTACACTACGAAAAAATGACATATTCACATAGGTACAAGTTTGCGTCATCGAAGTATATACGACACAATTTAGAGATAGCGTATCGTACAAGAGCACGATGAAAAGTAGTATCGCACGAAGCTTTGAAACGGCCTTCTGACACAGCGAAATGCTAAGCCCAGGTGGTTCTCCCCCTAGTAGTTTTTACCAGCATGTACGATGTTTTCTCCCAAAATAAAGTTCCATATCTCCAAGTTGTACTTAGCATAGTATGGAACCTAAATGATTGCGCACTCTTCGGATAACTAATCAGTGCAAAAAATGATTTCTTTATGGCTGCTAGGACCCCACACTGAGAGGCCTGTTCCCAAATCACGGCCCAATAGCCGGAGGAACACCAATCACTCTTCATGGCACGGATTTTGACTCTGGATCCAAAACAAAGGTGACAATTGGTCCAACAAAATGCGAAATAACAAGGTGAGTCAAGAGAATGTCGAACTCATTATTGCGATAGCAATTGTATGGAGCAATTGTATAGGGTAAGTGTATATCGGCTAGTTTTTGTGGTCCTATCAATTTCAGCGAGGCTAAAGATAGCTTCCAGGCATGTTGACACATATACTATTGTACATTTTACAGCCATATTTTATATCGAGACGAACAAATCACGAGCTCGAGGTAAGAGAGTACAGTTGCAAAACTAATTTTTCTAAGAGCAATTTTTTTCCTCAAAACAGTTTCAGAATGAATCGACAGCCTGCTACAACAGAGTGTATATGAGATAACGAAGTTTCTGCAGCCGCTCTTTGATGTCTCGTTCTGTCTGATTTTTATGCAAAGTTTATTTCTTGTGACATAGTTTTTCGTTTCATACATTTAGTGTTATGCTTTCATACTCCATATAAAAAAGATTGTTTTTATGTTGGTTATGTACATTGACATTCGTATAAGCCACATTTAGTTCTTAAAGGGGCCCTGCAACGCCTTTTGAGCATGGCGAGGAAACACTGCCAATTGATAGTAGAGGCTCCCGCCAACACGCGGGCAAAGTATTACAGCACAGCTCGTGGCCTGGAATTCACAATAAATTACCAAAGTTAGCTGAAAGTGGCTCTCTACTTTTTCTACAAATCACGGAAGACGCTGAAAAAGCACTGTAAAAATACCATCTATCAGCAATTCTCTGCTTTGAACTCGGCGCCATCAGTCGGTACAGATATCGCCGCGGGATACCGCGACTTGTCCACGCGTGTGCAAAACGTTAACGTGCGCGCACGATCACACTGAAAAAACCACGCATGCGAAGAAAGAAAAAAGAGAAAAAGAGCTCAAGGCTACGAGGCACGCGTGATGTTTTTCTTTTCCTCTGACATCCCTCTCAGCTCAGCTTCCAGTGCTTTCATCGGGACGAGAGAAGAGAGAATGCGGTTGCAGCTTGCGAAAATCTGTGTGACTCCACTCGCATTGGACGGTTTGCGGCGTTGAATTCGTGAGGCAATAAGCTCTTCCACTGTATTCATTCCATGGTAACTTAAAAAAGTCTTTCAGGGCCTCTTTACTTGTGGCTATGCTCATAGTATGATTAAGAAATACACGATCTCAGGTGCAAATGCTGAATGCTTAATGATGAGAACATCTCAATTCCAGCTTGCTGCAATATAAATTCAGGCAACCAGCTGGTTCTAAACGCTAGTTTTTAGATTTTCTTGAGCAACTGCTGCAGTTTTTTCAGATCAACAAGTTGCCTTTATTTTGCTGTTAGTGACATAAATATCAATACAGTTAGTGATCACTTGTATGTAGTGGTTAACAATACTTTGACTATGTCGTATGGATATTAAAATTCGGATTCTGTGCACACACGTATTTGCCGGAAAACAGCTACAACCACTTCTGTGTAAGAAATATCAGTGCCCCAGAACTCATGGAAGGAGTGATAGTGACATGAGCGATCATTGGTATGTGTTTTGCGTTATTATTCAGTTCAAGAGTAGACAAAAATAAGATGTAAGCAAATATCATGTGATAAATGATAATTCACTTGACAATTTCTTTTCACTGGAGCAGAAAATAAATTGGACTAGCGTGTATGACGGCAGTGGCCCTAATGAGGCCGGCGAAAGCTTTTATTGTAAGTTAAAGGTCAATTATGATGAAGCTTTGTATAGAAGAATAAGAGAAAAAAATAAAATGTATCACACTTTTACTACTGCGCGTGATTTAAACATTTTAAAGGAGTTCAAAAAAAGGTCCGAAATAAACAGCTTCTACAATAAAGCAAGCAAAAATTATTACAAAGGCTTGTTCCTACAATATAAAACTTATGCAAATATATAAAATGGTAAACAGGCTAACAAGCAGAAAAGTTGTAACAGATAGCGTTCAAGATATTAAAGTTATTGGAACTAGGATAACAGGACAGTGTCTGGCCGATAATTTTATTCAGCATTTTATACAATCAGAAAATACTGATAACGAAGCTGTAGGAATAAAGAAACCAACAAAATTCGTTGGTTTTCTAAGTCTTTTGTGCTGCATTACGTCTCTCCGCTTGAAGCTGAACAGTTACTTAGTAGAATAAAAAGTGATGCCGCTGCTCGCTATGATGATTTTAAAAGTCAACTGAATAGGTACATTTCCAACTTAATAACAAAGTTTCCAACGCATATTATTAACCGAGTGTTCGACACGGGCATGTTTCCTGACCAATTATAAATGCAATTTTTGTACCGATATACAAATCTGGAGATAAAAACATCCTTACAAATTACCAGCCAAAATCGGTATTGCCCACTTTTTCAAAAGTTTTGCGTAGGAAATTAACAATCGTATAACAGAGTTTTCAGAAAAATGCAGTAATGTATCTAGTTCACAGTTTGGATTTCAAAAACTCAATTCAGCTGAACAAGTGCTACTTTACGCAAACGAGAAAATCATTCAAGATATTGAAAATGAAGAGTATACATTAGGGCTGTTTCTAGATTTGCGAAAAGCGTTTGACTCGATTAACCATGGTATAATATTTTCGGAACTGCACTGTTGTGGCTTAGGGGCCACGCAATTGAAATTAGTAACTACCTTGAGAAATGCTTCCAGGTTACAAATGTAAATAAATATACCTCCGCACGGCTAAATGTAATAAATGGAGTGCTCCAAGGATGAGTATTAGGTCCTACATTCTTTTTGTTAAACATCGATGATATAAGACAAATTGACAAAACCCTCGATATGGTAATGTTCGTGAACGATGAAAGTGTAGCTTTACAGCTAAAGCTGTTATGAGATCAATTTTCCAGTCACACGCAATTGCATGTTGTCCGCCACTGCTGCCGGTGTCCGTAACCACATCGCACAAAATAAAAAAAACCTTGCACCAATGACACAATGTGGCTTGAGCCCGGGTCCACTGGGCACCAGCCCAATTTTTTACCACTGATATGAATGACTGTGCTGCCCCTAACGCACAGGCCTAGCATTTTTTTTACTTCGCGGACAAAACGTGAACTTCAAAAAAAAAAAAAAAAAGGCTAATGATTATCTAGCTTTCCGAAAGGTTAAAATAAAACTGCCTGAAATTAAATGCCTCTAAAACTAAGTACTTTATTTTTTCTCACCCAAATGAACGAGACTAACATGAGATCCATATTACCTACGGCAATGAGTATTAGGCTAACACCTGAAAAGAAATTACTAACTATTTGATTCCTCTAATCATTGGCATGGTCACGTAATGTGAACCACTTGGCAATCGATATAGCTCGAGTAATAGAATGTAATAGAAATATTTCCATGTGACTATCAGTTTGCCCAAGGAAAACTCTTTATTATACACTTCAGCCTACTTAAAGATTGCCTATTGTTCACTAGTATGGGGTGCTAACATTTAACACAACTATAATAGGCAAATGATGTTACAAGAACGAGTACTGCGTATTTTTGAAAATTATATAAGGGATATCCGGGATTCGCGCACCCGGGAAATATTTACGCAACACCACATGCTTATGGCCGATCAAGTTTACCTTTATAAACTAATGCAGCTTATACACACCCCAAGCATGTATAAAGATATTGGCACGGTAGTTGACCCCAGTACGCGTTTATTGCAGCAGATGAGGAGGCTTCCAAATATTAGGACAAGTTACAGGAAGCAATTATTGTCCCACGAAGCTATACAAATTTAGAACAAACAGAAAGACATGATATATTGGCCAAATAGTCATAGTAAGGTCAAAGGAATGTATAAAACGCGGAGATGTTGTAGGCCCGTGTACTCAGATTTGGGTGCACGTTAAAGAACCCCAGGTGGTCGAAATTTCTGGAGCCCTCCACTTGGGACGTTAAAACCCACATATCAATCAATCAAATGTATAAAACGTTTCTAGTGACGACCACATGCGTGTTGTAGGCTGGCGTGATACTTACTTTGCTGTACTACTAGCATTACCACTTTCTGTTGTTTATGCACGTCCGTTTCACAGACGCACTGATATTCGAAACATATCTGTAACGCGATACAAAGCTCTGTTTTGTTTACCTAGTGCGTGTATACTGTGCTAGTGAGTGAGTGACGTGTGTGATCTACTTTATATGTTATATGCATGTATGATGTGTATTCTGTGTTAATCAAGTTTAATTATAGATTTTGTGTTACTAGTGTTATGATGAACATATGCAAGATATTTAACAAGATGTTTTCTTGGTTTTGTACTGAGCCAATTCTTTTAATAAGCGCATCATTACACATAGTTTTAAAAATGGGGTACGAATTGAACAAAGGCATGACTCGTCAGCCCTATAATCACTGTTCCCGCAAGAAATGCCCCGAAGTAAAATTTGGGGTATTTTCACAGCACGCGTGACTGTATATTATGTTTGTGTAGTAAACCTTCAAGGGCTATAGTGAACAAATTCAAGGTCCAAAAGTGGTCATAAAGAGAAATATGCACTATTACTTCACGCTGCTTCAAGAATTCAACGAATAGGTGCTATATTAAGGAAGTTACTGAAACATCAGTTTCAGCTGGTTTAAAATTTTCGCATGGCCTCACCACTCTTCTCCCTCACATGAAGGAGAAGGTGAAGTCCGTCGTCATGACTCCACCTACGAAGCAACGCTTTTTCGCACATGTTGCTCACGTCGAGAGCAAAGCACGTCCGCGCAGGCGCTATGCTGAACTGTAGTTGAGCGAGGAATGTACGCGCGACAACTGCGATGCCACAGCAGTATCACCGCAGGGCCACGAAAAAAGGGGTAGTTTCGTAGCTGTGGGTGGGAACAGGCTAGAGTTTTGAGGAATGTGCGCGCAACAACTGCGATGCCACAGCTGTATCTCCGCAGGGCCATGAAAAAAGGGGTAGTTTCGTAGCTGTGGGTGGGAACAGGCTAGAGTTTCGAGGAATGTGCGCGCGACCACAGCGATGCCACAGCTGTATCACCACAGGGCCATGAAAAAAGGGGTAGTTTCGTAGCTGTGGGTGGGAACAGGCTAGAGTTTCGAGGAATGTGCGCGCGACCACAGCGATGCCACAGCTGTATCACCACAGGGCCATGAAAAAAGGGGTAGTTTCGTAGCTGTGGGTGGGAACAGGCTAGAGTTTCGAGGAATGTGCGCGCGACCACAGCGATGCCACAGCTGTATCACCACAGGGCCATGAAAAAAGGGGTAGTTTCGTAGCTGTGGGTGGGAACAGGCTAGAGTTTTGAGGAATGTGCGCGCAACAACTGCGATGCCACAGCTGTATCTCCGCAGGGCATGAAAAAAGGGGTAGTTTCGTAGCTGTGGGTGGGAACAGGCTAGAGTTTCGAGGAATGTTGCGCGCGACCACAGCGATGCCACAGCTGTATCACCACAGGGCCATGAAAAAAGGGGTAGTTTCGTAGCTGTGGGTGGGAACAGGCTAGAGTTTCGAGGAATGTGCGCGCGACCACAGCGATGCCACAGCTGTATCACCACAGGGCCATGAAAAAAGGGGTAGTTTCGTAGCTGTGGGTGGGAACAGGCTAGAGTTTCGAGGAATGTGCGCGCGACCACAGCGATGCCACAGCTGTATCACCACAGGGCCATGAAAAAAGGGGTAGTTTCGTAGCTGTGGGTGGGAACAGGCTAGAGTTTCCTAAAATTAACTATAGGGGACTTTGTCACTGCGATCGTTCAGCGACCTTGGGAATGATGGGTAGTACACACATTTGCCTATTTTTCGTACTTGAGGACGGCGAATCATACTTGCGGCTTCAATTATTGCAGTGTTTCTGTTTTGTTTTGAAAGAAAGATTCCACCCTTTTGAACTTCGAGACCCGATTTTGAAAGGTAAGTCTAAAAGAATAAGGTCCTGAAGCGCAACCGCTGAAAATTTGCTGATTTTTCTTTCGTGAGAAAACAGCTCCAAACCACACGAACACACACAGCGCCAAAAGCAGGCCAGAAGTACGAAGATGAGACAAATGTGTGTAGTACCCATCATTGCCATGCTCGCGCGCGGCGGCTGCATTTCCGATGGAGGCGGAAATGTTGTAGGCCCGTGTGCTTAGATTTGGGTGCACGTTAAAGAAACCCAGGTAGTCGAAATTTCCTGAGGCCTCCACTACGGCGTCTCTCATAATCAAATGGTGGTTTTGGGACGTTAAACCCCACATATCAATCATCAATTCCCATGCTCGCTGAAGCACCATGCCTTGCAGCTCCCACAGACACTATAGTGCCAGAGTTCGCTCTAGTGTATATTAGGAAAATCTATGGGAACAGGATCTGACGTTGACTTCAGTACTGTTTGTTGAGCCTAGTTTAGATCAATCGACGAACTGCCTGCTGCGTCATGTCACCGATCGCCGACTTTGCGTCACTGCACGTGGAATGAGGATTGGTCAGGCGTAGGAAAGAAGTGCCGTACTTGTTTTTTTAATGGGGGCTCTGCGCGGCCCGCAACGTTGTAATATTAAGAAAACATGATCGCTGCGGTCCCCTATACAAATTGCCGAGCTTGTTTTTGGGGTGTAAACAAAAGTATAAGCCTGTTTACTGGCCCTTTAAAAAACTGTGACACTTATAGATGACGTGCTCCACGATGTCGTTAGCTACACTTACATCGAAAAAGCGCGGAATAAAGAATAATGTTGCTTCATTACACAACACTGGATCTTGAAGCGGTTCAGTTGCGTCAAAACTACCGATGAGGTCGCATCTTTAAGTTTCTGTTTATTCGATGGGCATTCATAAGTGTATATTAGGTGCGAAGCACCTTATAGCGGATTCAAATTCAGTGGGCGGCGTGACCGCCCTTAATGAGTATGCCCAGCAACTGGCCCAAGCAGTGCCAGAACGCGCCCGCGCACTTGCGCATTCTGGACTTTGTAAGGGGATAGGTAAGGCGCTGTGGCCTTTTCCTCTTACACTCTCTCAGCAATAATTTGATGGCATCGAGGGACGAGATTCTGCAGACGAGCGATGAACCAACGAGTTGTATTCTAGCGAAAACGCGCTGGCACGCGCTAATGTGTTTGGGCCTGCGTAAGTGACTGGATAAGAGGCTCTGCCCCTCTTTCCTTACACTCTGTCATCATTCCTATGCAAACGCGGTGCGCCATCCCCGTGCTGGTTTCAATTGACTCATGGTCCCCTTTAGCGGGAGGTGGTGTAATTTTTACATTCAATATGGTTTTATAGGCTCAAGAAGACATTTCTGGAGTGCAGCTCGAGCCCCGTGAATAGCAGCTTCGTAGGCCAGAGCTTGCAAGTCAAACTCATCACGGATGACTTCGAAGTGCCTTTCACCTCAGTGAACGATTCGGGTTTCGCATTCACCTACAAGCCGGACCCAGTGATCTACAGCATTGCACCTAAGGAAGCATCTGTCAGGTAGGGCAACCATTAGCAGCACTAATTGGCCAATTGTTCAGTGACCGCATTTCCAACTCAGTCGCGAGTGCGAAATTTGTCACGATTCTTTGCATTGGCAGTGATAAGAACTATACTGCAAAACTGTTCGTACAGCCTGGACTTGTCGTATCCCCTTTAGCGGCGTTGGTTAGGCTTATTTGCGCAACATTTATATGCTAGTGGTGACAACATGTCGCTATAAGAGAGCAAGATACATTGCTACTAGGCTAGGTAGATTGAACGTTCTGCATAGTCATAACTTAACTGAACCTCGGTATGGCATGCATGACTTTGATCAATCCTTTTCGCGAATGCACTACGGTGTTCAATAGATCGTTCGACATTGCCCCGCCGCGGTGGTCTAGTGGCTAAGGTACTCGGCTGCTGACCCGCAGGTCGCGGGTTCGATTCCCGGCTGCGGCGGCTGCATTTCCGATGGAGGCGGAAATGTTGTAGGCCCGTGTGCTCAGATTTGGGCGCACGTTAAAGAACCCCAGGTGGTCAAAATTACCGGAGCCCTCCACTACGGCGTCTCTCATAATCATATGGTGGTTTTGGGACGTTAAACCCCACAAATCAATCAATCGTTCGACATTCAGCATTCTTGAAGCACCATGAGAAGTATTACTTTTTTCGAAATGAAAACCCATATCTGGAGTATCATAGTTGATTATTTTTATGTCATAAAGCATTGCATAGTAACTGCACACAACCGAAAAAAAATTGGCAGATCCCACATACAGTGGGAATCAATGATATGCAAAGCACGAATAAGAAAAGTTGATATGTCACTTTGAAATCAGCACAACGTTACGAGGTGGAGGTAAATGATGTCGTACATGACTTCTGTCTCACGGGTATCATGTTTGGATGAGTCGCATACCTTCGTCATTTATTCACGTCACGTGATACCAAATTTAGCATATATGCAGCTATTGAAACCGCTGCGACTACGCTTTGAGCGTGGTAAGTTGTCATGTTCTTACATGACACGCGTGTCGGGATTATATGTTTGCACCAGTCATATATTTCATCATCTATTGACGTCATGCAACACCAAATTTTGTATATGTGGAGCTAGCAAAACAGCCGCGAGCGCATCATGAGGGGCCCAATATACTCCAATGTAGCGTTGACGTGCGCTCACGCTCGGCACAGCAACGCTGCGTTAGTGAAACGCGAGCACTCCATAGTCTGACGCCAGGCGCGACCAGCGTCCGTCGGCGCGGCCCGATGGCAACCGGTGCTAAATTTGCACCGATGCGTTACCCAGACAACACTTGCCTCCATCATTTCGTGACGGAGGGACGCTGGACGCGCAAAAGCGCGCATGCGTGAAAGCAACACAGCACGGCGCTTGCTTGCGAGTATATGGCAGGACCGGCGCCTGGCGGGGCAACCTCGGCGTGACGCGACAAAATGAACGCCGGCGAGCACGCGCACCGCGTCACGTCGAAATGTATTGGCGCCTTGACTGTGGCATGTAGTCATGCTCTGCACATGACACGCATGTCATGATTATCATGTTTGCACCAGTCACATACCTTCGTCATTTATCGACGTCACGTAATACCAAATTTGGCATTTGTAAAGCAAGCGAAACGGCAGCGAGCGTATCATGAGTGTGGCATGCAGTAATGTTGTGACATCACACTGCATGTCGTGATTATCATGTTTGCACCAGCATCATACCTTCGTCATCCATTCACGTCCCATAATACCAAATTTGGTATACGTGAAGCTAGCGAAACAGCCGCCAGCGCATCATGAGCGTGGCATGTAGTCATGTTGTTACATGACACGCATCTAATGACTCTCATGTTTGCACTAGTCACAAACCTTTGTCCACCATTCACGTACCGTAATACCAAATTTGGTATATGTGGTGCTAGCAAAACAGGCCGCGAGCGCATCACGAGCGTGGCATGTAGTCATGTTGTTATATGACGCGCATGTCATGATTTTCATGTTAGGGTCTGTCGCTTGTGTTCGCCATGCACTCATATCATATCATACCAGTCTAGCAACATGCCATATGAACAAAACCACCGCAAGAGCAGCAGGACAATGAAATGTAAATCATGACATTCATGACATACATGTCATGGTTTTCATGATAGATAGATAGATAGATAGATAGATAGATAGATAGATAGATAGATAGATAGATAGATAGATAGATAGATAGATAGATAGATAGATAGATAGATAGATAGATAGATAGATAGATAGGCTCAATGTCACCGAAGTTCGCTAAGAAATGCTTCGCATTTAAATATATTTCTCAAGTCTCTCGCTGAGTGCGCTGCAGCCAGGTTAGAACTTCGAGTTTTATTTTCAGTACACTGTGTACGATTCTCTATACTATATTTGCGTATCCTTTCAGTGAGGAGCCCATCATTAATGTGACGGGCATAAACTTGGACAGTGTCGCTGCACCCGTGATGGTCACTCAAGTGGCATCTTCGCAACAATCCAGCCAGCACGGGAACATTGAAAAGGTAAGAAACAACGCGCCATTCAATATTAGCTGCGGTTACTGTCACTCTGTCACCCAGCCTTCCATTCATAAAGCGCACTTTTCCTCAGAAAAAAAAAAAAAAGTGGCGAACAGTCATGTATGCTTCCAAGCTAGCCTTTATGTCCTAATTTATGTTCAGTCATGCACTTGTACGTTAACGAAAGCACAGGAAAATTACACAACAGAAAAGAAGCTTTAGCCGTCATAATAGCTCTCGCGAGTGCTACAGAAGTTACCTGAAGGTACACATTTTACCCCAATGAATGACGACTGATTATTCCGTCATAGGAATCGGTATTACGCAAAAAACACGTATTCACAGAAGTAATTGATTGTTTGCTGTACGCTGATATATGACAGCTTTCGCCTGTTGACTTTTTGCCTTTTGGCATCGAAGTTTGGAACTTTCTGCAATCTTCCTGCTAGAATTACGTTTTATGTATAGAACCATAATCTATGACTTATTAGGGCGGCTGGAACATGCAGGTTGAGGCGGCGTGCTCCTCCCGATTCTCTCCCCCTCCCCATAACTGACCGCTCCGGTGACACTCCACAAGTGGTTAGAAAAAGTAGGTAACGATTTAAAGTACAGGGTACTCTACTAAGGGAGAGCTTAAAGCCCTCCCGTGGGCCTCAATAGAGAGTTTTAGTACTGCGGAATGGTGCTACGCACGCATCACGCAAGCGCCTTGCGTTACGTGGCGTCGTTTGCCACTAATCGGCTTTTAGTACGCCGTAGTACCCGCGTACGTAACGAGCGTGAAGCGCGTTGCGCCATCTGGTAGATCAAAATAGAAGCACGTGTTGTTGACAGCCAATGTGAGGCAATCCAAGTGTTATAGCCAGATTATGGCCATATTTCAAGCCACAGAGCCGGTCGGTGCTTTCCTTCCTCCGTGGTGCTTGCCTTCGATGCCGCCATTTTGCAAAACGAAGTCTCGCGCTATCGCGAACTTGTTCGAGAGCGGCGCGATCACCTCATACGTACGCACGCACGCATCTCATGCGTGCGTACGTAGCGGCTGCGTACGTAATGTGATACGTGCGCGTTGCGGTCTGCGCATGCGCACTACACAGAACGTGGCGTCCTTACGTACGCAGCGCCGCCACGTACGCAGCGTACGCAGTACTAAAACTCTCTAATATTGGAAGCCCCAAGAAGCATATAAATGGACTAGTTTAATATGTTTGCGTTCGGACAGCTTTCAGAGTAAGCAAGCTATGATAAGCCACCTTAGAGTAACATATGGGTCAGCCTTTCTCTGTAATCGTTTTCCGAAAAGAAATAGTGCACTGGCAAAACGTAAACGAGCAATTAAGGGTTGACACACCACACTGCATACAACTTTAATGCAACGCTGCTGTATGTCTTCCCTCTTTTTGCTTATTTTCTGTCATTTTTTTCTAAACACGAGTACACCCAAGCTAGCCCATCTTGCCCTTATGTTTCTGAAAGAAATTCTCTCCCTTTTACTGAGTTTGGTAGGCTTTTTGGAAGCACGTAATATGTATATATTTTATGCTGTCCCGGAATATTCCATGCCCTAACAAGAAGTGTGCCTACTTTTGGTTACAGGCGTGTGTCGTTGCCAGCGGTGGTCAACAGATGACGTGCAGTGGCCCTTTGTTGACGGAATTTTCAGTGCTGAACGCTACAGACTTGCAAGTGCACGACAAACCAATAACAGCCCACATTACGTTTAAGATGGATGGCCTTCATTTACCACGGTCAATCGATGGCACGGCTGGATATTTCACATTCAACTACCATCTAGAACTCTGGGTCGACCGCTTTCCCGATGAAGGAATTGGAGTTGACTTCTGGCACCCAGTCGTGAAACTAAAGGTTAGTGAAATTTAGCTGATTGATGTGTTCATTTTTTAGATGCGGAAGCACCTTATACTCGCGCCTTGTAGTGCGCCGTCCGCACCGCTTCTCGAACATTCGACAGCTGACGCACGCGCATGCGCCGTCGCGCCGTCGCCCACTCTTCCACCATCTGTGCATCCCTTCCTCCTCTACACACCGCGCGCGCTTCACTCCTCCACCATCTGTGCACCCTTCCTCCTCTACACACCGCGTTCGACATCTACAATTCTCCTGATTCTCCAGTGGACGCGCATGTGGCGTCGCGCTTCGAGAACATTCAACAGCTGACAGTGCATGCGCCGTCGTGCTGTATATATACTCAAGGTCGGCGCTCGCTCGCTCAGTTGCCGCTCGTCGGTTGGTTTGTACGGCGCGTCGACGTCCAAGGTCGCGGTGAAATGAATTCCAACGAATCCACAAACACAATGATCGACGTCCCTTCGACCAGCGCCGCCCTTTCGCATACGTGTGTACGTGTTCACTCATTTAACACCCCCTCCTACAACCACGTTAACCAATTTAGCCATCGACCCAAGTAAGTCGCAATTTAACACCCCATTTCACAACCACGTTAACCAATTTAGCCATCGACCCAAGTAAGTCGCACTTTAACACCCCGTTAACCAATTATATGCTCCGCATCCTCCTCAGTGTTCCCCCGAGGGAAGCTGCGGGCAATCTTTTTGTAATGGTTAATTAACAGTAGAGGTTTTCAAATGTTCATTCTTACGCTTTCTTTGACTACAATATTTCAGTAAAACAAAGATATTTTTGTCGTTGAAAATGGAGCATGTATTTTCCAGGTTGCATGTGTCGGTAATCATACGATTGCATACTTCCATGTGAAAAAAATAAGAAACATTTGGGATCATATCACTGCCACTGAAAACGAGGTTTGATAAACATGCTTTTACGAGGCAAATACAGAAGGGAATTATAAGGCATGCTATCGCGGAGGCTCTGTATTGACATTGATTTTCTAAGGTTGTTTAATGTGTGTACAACTTGAAGTGTCCGCAGCTGTTTTCAAAATCCGCGCACCTGGCTGAGAACCGAACACGTGTCGTCGTGTTTTGCGTCACATCATGGCATGTTGCTAAACTGCCGCAACGGCTCATTTGTGCGCACCACACTAGGTCTCACGGAACTTATCAAAATGTGGATATGAAGAGACATAACAAAACAGAAATGCCAAGAGGTAAACCGAAATTTCGGCGTTCGGTTTGTTATTCTACTCTAGGAGAGGGGGAAAAAAAGACAAGACAGGTAGAAAGAAGAGTAGGCTCACTACAACAAAGAAAATGCTTAGATTAGAATGTGGTCACAATAGGGTGCAAACCAGTCTGAATCTGTTTATTAAAAATATCGAGTAAAGGCGCAAACTTGATAAGTTTTGGCAAGCAATAGTTAAGTAAATATTGCTTGCCAAAACATATCAAGTTATGTAAACCTCATATTTAGTTTGAAAGGCGTTATAAATATATTGGTGATTAGAGTAAATGCTGCTTTATTGGATGGATATAACTTGAAACCGTTTAGTGCATCTCAATGCGTATGAAGGTGTACCGCTGAAACATAAAAAAAATGAAATCTATATCACTGGCACGCGTGTATTCAAGTTTGCAAGGCCATAAATATATTACAGACACCAGACATGAATCCAAATAAGACAAATGTTTCTAAAGTCCTAACAAGCAAGATGAAAACAACTACACAGATTGAGTCTGAAGAGCACGTGGATTTTAAAGGAACTTCTGAAAGAATAACTAAAGAATAACTAAAATATTAAGAAATAGTACGCTTCATGGACAATTTAATAGAAGTAATTTATGCATTCTATGAGTAATTGTTTTTCGTAAGAATATTTTTGAGGACGCTGCTATGTACTCAAATTTTTCCACTCGCTGAGGAATAAAAAATATAAAGCGACTGTAAAGAACTGTCGTATATTAAAATAGCGCTGCTCAGGAAATGCAAAATTGAAAAAAAATCCACAGATGCACGAAATGGTTGATTCATTGAGAATTTTTCTTTTGTGCCTGTTTTCTTACTATTTTGTGAATTTCAAATGATGGTAAAGAGCGCAAAATTTTTTTTCCGCTCAAAGAAGTTTGGGGAAATAATGTACAACTAATGTGTATATGTGGGTAATACTCACATAATATTGTTAGAAGTTTATTTTTGGCGAGGCGCCATGATAAGAAAAGTTGCAGTTGAAGGACCCGAAACTATTTATTGCTAACTTTTTAAAATCAATGGAGGCAATCATCAAAATTGAAGCAGGCATTATCAAGTGAATAACTTTCTGTAAATCGTGACGATGGTAGGTCATTATGCTCAATCGGATATGCCTGAAAATTGCAAGCACATCGTGCGCGATTCGAAGAACGCAATAGAGGTTGACGGTAGGTGTGAATAATAATTAGTTTGACTGCTTTAGTGGCTAATTAATCTTCTCCCAGTTTTTACAAAGATTTCGCAGGCATCGACATGCAACAGTGGCAGTCGCTGTTGAATATATCTTTTTGTTGTCAGCAACAAAGGCAATGCTACAGATTAATAAAAAAAATCTTTTTAGAACAATTAATAGACGGATATTCTTGTTTTATTTTTGCTTGTTCTAAACAGATTTTCAACATGAAAGGTCTTTTAGGGCTGCTTAAGGTAATCTGGCTAGGACCGAACCGAGGAGCACGCGGCGGACCAAAGTCATTCCCATCAATACTTTTAAATGCGAAGCATTTCTTAGCGAACTTCGGCAACCTTGAGCGTATCTATCTATCTATCTATCTATCTATCTATCTATCTATCTATCTATCTATCTATCTATCTATCTATCTATCTATCTATCTATCTATCTATCTATCTATCTATCTATCTATCTATCTATCTATCTATCTATCTATCTATCTATCTATCTATCTATCTATCTATCTATCTATCTATCTATCTATCTATCTATCTATCTATCTATCTATCTATCTATCTATCTATCTATCTATCTATCTATCTATCTATCTATCTATCTATCTATCTATCTATTCTATCTATCTATCTATCTATCTATCTATCTATCTATCTATCTATCTATCTATCTATCTATCTATCTATCTATCTATCTATCTATCTATCTATCTATCTATATAGCCGCCTACGACTTTTAGGCTCTCCTGGCCGTTTCGATAATGGTATCGATACAAAACTTGGTATGGCATGACATGACTGTATGAAGAACATATTTGATTACTCATAAGATTGAAATGATGACATGTATGTCATAAATGTCATGATTTACATTTTATGGTCCTGCAGCTCTTGCGATGGTTTCGTTCACATGGCATGTTGCAAAACTGGTATTGTATGACATGATTGCATGGCGACCACAAGCGACAGACCGTAACATAAAAATCTTGACATGCGTGTCATGTTACAACATGACTACATGCCACGCTCATAATGCGCTCGTTGCCGTTTCACTAGTGTCACATGTACCAAATTTTGTATTGCGGTATGGTAATGGATGACGAAGGTATGTGACTGGTGCAAATATAATAATTATGAGATGCGTATCATGTAACAACATGACTACATACCACGCTCCTGATGCATTGGCAGCCATTTCCTTAGCTTCACTGATACCAAATTTAGTATTACGGGATGTGAATGTATAATGAAGGTATGATACTGGTGCAAACCTGTTAAACATGAGATGCGTGTCATGTAACAACATGACTACATGCTACACTCATGATGCACTCACGGCCGTTTCGCTAGCTCGAAATGTACCAAACTCGGTATTACACGACGCGAATGGACGATATAGGTAAATGACACATTCAAACATGATAATCACGAATTGCATGTCAAGTAACGACATGACTACATTCCGCACTAATGATACGCTCACTGCCGTTTCGCTAGCTTCACACATGCCAAATTTGGTATTACGTGAGGCCAATGGATGACGAAGGTATGTGACTGGTGCAAACATAATAATCATGAGATGCGTGTCATGTTAGAACATGACTACATGCCACAGTCAAGGCGCCAATACATTTCGACGTGACGCGGTGCGCGTGCTCGCCGGCGCTCATTTCGTCGCGTTCCGCCGGCGTTGCCACGCCAGGCGCCGGTCCTGCCATTACTTGAAGGCACGTGCAGCGCTCCGTTCTTTCACGCATGCGCGTTTCAGCGCGTCCAGCGCCCCTCCGTCACGAAAAGAGGGAGACGCAGTGTTGTCAGGGTAACGCATCGGCATAGAGTAATGTTACTCTATGGCATCGGGGTGAAATGCAGTATCTCGCATTTTGAGCCGGTTGCCGTCGGGCCGCGCCGACGGACGCTGATCGCGCCTGGCGTCAGACTGTAGAGTGCCCGCGTTTCGCTAACGTAGCGTCGCTGTGCCCAGCGTGTGCACGCGTCAACACTAAATTGGAGTATATTGGGGCCTTCATGATGCACTCGTGGCCATTTTGCTGGCTCCACATATACCAAATTTGGTGTTACGTGACTTCAATGGATGACAAAATATATGACTGGTGCAAACATGACAATCCTGACACGCGTGTCATGTAAGAACATGACAACACACTACGCTCATAGCGTGCTCGCAGCGGTTTCGATAGCTGCACATATACTAAATTTGGTAGTTTGGTTGTACGTGACGTGAATAGATGACGAAGGTAAACGACACATCCAAGCATGATAATCATCACGCGAAAGTGTTGAACGGTACCATTTACCTCCACCTCGTAACGTTGTGCTAATTTTAAAGTGACAAATAAACATTGCTCATTTATGCTTCGCATATTATCGATTCCTGTCATTTACGTTTCATGAAATAAGCTAACAACAGTCAAAAAAGGCATATTTGCCTTTGCCGGAATTGTTTACTGTGATATATTGCACGAGAAACAAGAAACGGTTAAAATTACAGATGATGTCGAAGCAGCATGAAGTACCAACGTAGGCATCTG